CCCTCTCGTCTTCCCACTCTTAAAACGAGGGATTCCACGCGCCGCCACAGCTCTTGAACGAGTGAGCGAGTGAATGACTCTGAATGAACGAACGAATGAGCTAGCAAGCTAGCTAGCTAGCTAGCGAGCGAGCGAGCGAGCGAGCGAGTGAGTGAGCTAGCGAGTTAGCCTAGCCTAGCTTAGCTAGCTAGAGCTACCAGCTAACTAGCTAGCTAGTGCGCGTGTTCAAATGAAACTACTGGGGTAAACGAAGCCCTCTCTCGTTGCAGTTGGTTAATCTTACGCACAAACTACTATTCCCTTCGTCCTTTTCTCTCTCCCTCTCACTCTCTCTCTCTCTCTCACTCTCTCTCTCTCTCTCTCTCTCTCTCTCTCTCTCTCTCTCTCTCTTCCTCCCACACTCTTTATTTCTTAAGGAAAAAAAAAAAGACACATAGACGCACAAAACGTAGTATAACTCGTACACCTGTGTAATCTCGTAAATTCGAATTTCTTCATTCCCCCTCCTACCTCACCCCACACCATCATCCCACCCACCCTGCTTTTTTTTTCTTTTCTTCTTCTTCTTCCTTTTTTTTTTCATTTCTTCTTCTTCTTCATTTTCTTTTTCTTTCTTTTTTTTTTTTTTACTACCCCTTATCTAAAACTTCGGAAAAAAATTTTTATTCACTTTGAAAACTCGAAGGACTTGATAAGAGGAGAGGGGAAGAAGATAAAAAGTCGAGAAACGATTCCGCTAATATATTTTCATTAATTTCTCTAATTATTTTGCGATTGATAAGATAGAGAAATGAAAAAAAAAATATCGTAGGGTCATGTGAAAAGTTAAATAGAAATAAAACTTCAGATTACAAACTCGATAACCTTGGCGAGAATCGTATATCTTTCCTTCTCTCTGTTTCTTTGTCTATCTATATACATATCTATTTATCTCTTATTCTCTCTGTATTCGAACGAGAGACTTTCATGATCAATAATGATCCAACGTTACTAATCTTCTTTTTCATGAATCGATACTTAGATTCCTATTATAGTTAGTTCACACGAAAGCGTAATATCGTTTTAACGATAAAAGCTGACGCCTCTTGTGCATTACTCATTCCTCTCATTCCTATCGTATGAGAAAGAACATGCGCAACGTATTGAAAAATTCTTTTTCGTTTTCTTTTTTTTTTTTTTCTACTATTAATATGATAAATTTTATCATACAATTTAAATATGTATAATGTTGGCACGATTATGCGAGCGAAATAATTCATATTAATTTCTATCACGTAAATACGCAAAACATTTCTTTTTTTGTGTTTTTGTTTTTCTTTGTTTCTCTCCTCCTCCTACCCCTCGTAAAAATAGGATAAAAATAAAATCATCGAGAATGACATTTTCTTCGATAAAAATATTTAATTATCAATTATCTAATCACAAACTATCGTGATTATTTACCTATACGTTCTTGGTATTATTGTATACATATATACATCATACATACATACATATATATATATATTATATATATATATATATATGTATACGAGAAATAAAATGACTACATCGGAATAAATAAAAAACATTCGATAATAAAATTATAATTATTTTTATTTTATTCACGATCCGTGCGAGATGGCTTATTTTGTTTGTTTTGTTTATCTCTTTATTTTTCTTTTTTCTTTTTTTTTTTTTTTTTTCTTTTTTCTTTTTTTTTGTTACATACAATAGAAATAACTGCGCATTTCATGTTATAAAGATGACATTATTGAAACGAAACTTAAAAAATTATCGCCATTTCCCACATGTAATTCGACGATTGATTCGACGATAAAAAAAAAATCAAAGGAGAAAAAAAATTCTCCACTAATTCTGCATTAAATATAATCCTATACGAAAGAAAAATATCGATCAAGTAAAATTCTAACACAAGCAAAAATATAGATTGTGGAAAGGGGAAAAAGAAAAAGAAAGAAAACAAAAAAACAAAACAAGACGAAACCAAAAAACAAAAAAAGAAAGAGAAAATAAAAGAAGAAAAATAAAAAAAATTCTCCATTAATTCTGCATTAATACAATTCTATAAGAAATAAAAATATCGACCAAGAAAAGTTCTTACACGAGCAAAAATATAGATCGTGGCAAGGGGAAAAAGAATAGAAAAAAAAAAAAAGAAAAAAAACAAAACAAAACAAAACAAAACAAAAAACAAGACAAGACAAAGCCAAAAAAGAAAAGAAAGGAAAAGACGATCGCAATAGAGGTCACGCGCGAAAGAGAAGATCGCGTGTGAACGATTTGAAATATTCATGAAGAACTTTGTTGTTTCCATTGCAAGAAAATGTATTTGAAATTCGTGTTGGTCTCTCCCCAGGTAGGAAAATTATACGATAGGAAACGTGAAATTGCATTTGATGCGGTCATTTCCATTCCGTTCATCTATCTATCCTTTTCTATGTTTTCCTCCATTTGTTTTTTTTCTTTTCTGTTTCTTTCTCTCTCTCTCTCTCTCTCTCTCTCTCTCTCTCTCTCTCTCTCTCTCTCTCTCTATTTATACGATCAAAAGGAAAAAAAGAAAAAAACCTCTACCACGAATGACACGTTTAAAGGAAAAACCAATATGATTTCGTTAACAAGTTATTCATCAAACGAGAAAAGAAATGGAAGAATAAATGGATTGATTCTCGTACATCGATACGTTTCATGATATTAATAAATCATTATTAAATGACGCGTTAAAAAGATAATAAAGAGTGAAAGTCAATAAATAAAATGTGAACGATAAGTAGAAATGAAAGAGTCATATGATATGAAATGAAAACAGAAAAAAAATAATATATATATATATATATAAATAAATAAATAAATAAATATATATATATATATATATATAAAATCATAAACTATAAAAATAAAGTAATTCTAACCTGCATTTTGTTGTATAGAAATGGTCGATGTTTTTGATTTCCAAACGTTCACAATGTTCCTTCGTATAAATATATATATGTGTATATACATAAATATATATATATACATATATATATATATGTATATATATATAGATATATGGATATATGTCTATTTGCTTCTATCTCTTCTCTTTCTCTTTCGAAAATGGTTCAACGTTAAATTGCTTCAGGACTTCATTGCGGCGACTTGAATGAGACGAAGGAGAGCAATATATTAGATTTAAGAGTCACTGACACCAACTAACTAAAACACATACGAACACGTACACGCACGATAAGCGTCTAAAGCTTACTACAAATACGTCAGTTCTCTTCTCTCTTTTTGTCTCTCTCTCTCTCTCTTTCTCTCTGTTTCTCTCTCTCTCTGTCTCTGTCCCTTTTTCACGATGTGATTTTCGCCTTTGAATATGCGATTGCTGAGAGAGGCATACGAACTACCTCCTCTTTACCGAATGAGAATGCTTCATGGTTTTTTCTTGTTTCTTTTTTCTTTTTTTCTTTTTTTTCTCTTTTACACACTTTCTCCTATTTCATAATGTCTCCTTAAATATATAAAATAAAATATAGAACGAAAATTATCCAAATCTATTTACTTTTTCTTCTTATTATTATTATTATCTTCTTTTTTTTCTTTTTTTTTTTTTTTTTAAGTCATTTATTCTTTCCCTTCTTCCTCCATTTTTTTGTCTAATATTCCAATCTCTAATAGTTTGCTAATGCATATTTATATATACACGTTTATAAACAACAGATTGTACATATACATGTCTATATATATATACATACATATATATATATATATATATATATATATATATATATATATAGAACGGTAATTAAGATAAGTTTTATCAATCCAAATTTTTACGAGCAAAAATAAATCAATGAGAAATCTTAATTGTAACAATCAATTGATATTTAACTCAAAAATAATTTGATAAAAGAATCAATAATCCTTTTTACGAATCTTTACTAACAATATTTGCGAGATACAATGCACGATAATTTAAGATAAAAAATACAGAATACGTTGTTCGTTTTACATATGAAATTCATTTTATATATCGTATAAACTGCTCGCTTATATAAAATTGTTCGTTATTTTTTCTTTTCTTTTTTCTTTCTTAATTTTTTCTCTTTTTTTTTTTTTCTTTTTTTTTATTCCTTGTTTCTTTGTTTTTTCGATTAACAATTTTCGATCACAATTTATTCGAAGAAAAAGAAACGCAAAGTAACAAGAAAAAAAAAAAACAAGTCGGATAAAAAAAATTATTTTTACAATTATAATATACATCGATAACCGATGAATATAGATTTCATCTTGTATCAATTTATCATATTAAGTCATATTGTCGTATAAGTGAAAAATTTTGTTTCTTCCAGTCTAGAATAATAATAATAATAATAATAATAATAATAATAATAATAATAATAATAATAATAATAATTAATAATAATAATAATAATAATAATAATAATAATAATAATAATAATAATAATAATAATAACAATAATAATAATCATAATAATAATAATGCTTTTGTGAAACGTTATATGTAAAATTGTGTAACATTTCTATAATGAATATTTTATATATATGTATATACATAAAGGCTTATAAAGTTGATGTCATATAATAGAACTACTTGTATACATACATATGATATATATATACATATATATAAATATATATATATATGTATATATATATATATATATAGTCATAATTCATCCATAAAAAAACGTTATAAAACAATCTCAAACCAAAAGAAAAATAAAAAAAAAAAAAAAAAAAAAAAAAGAAGAAAATTAATAATTGTGAAGATTTACTCGTTAAAATACATACATATGTAAATGCTTCTCTATTTTTGTATGATTAGAAAATCTATCGTTAAATATAATATATATATATATCATACTGTTACTTTTTACACGACTTCATTTCTTTAGAACCTTATCCTCTCATTAGGAAAAGAAAAAAAATAGAAGAAAGAAAATGAAGATTAAAAGAAATATAAAAATAATTTATAACAAATCTCTGTCACATTCTTGTTCTTTTTTTCCTATTATCGATTTAACTTCCGAAGCGTTTGGTGTCGTAGTCAAAACTTCGGACGATGTTTTCATAGGAACGATGTCGTTCTCAATTGGAATATTGATTGCTTCGACATTAGAACTGACCATATAAACTTGTAATACCGTTTCACCTGGTTCTTCAGGAGATTCTTTTGATAAAATAACTACCGAACCTGGTTCAACCTCACCGATATTAGGAATAGCAGATGTGATAACATCAGGATATACATCGTTATTGATAACACTATTATTGCTGATATTTGTAGATTTTATCGTTTCCTTATTATTCTCTAATAATATACCTTCAGAATGATCTGAATGTTCTACATTATGCAAGTTATTTATATCAGGACCTTGTAATTTTCTTACTCTTGGCACTCTACCAGATCTTGTAGGTCTAATTTGATAAATTTCGGCATCGCTATCAGACTCAGGACCAGATGTTGAACATGCATTTTTACCCTCCTCCATAACTTCATCAGTTTTTTTGACATTTGATTTAAGACGTTTCCTTGGCCTCTGTAAAAACTGATTATTATTTGCCTCGATATCTTTATGCTGAATTTCTGACATTTCTGATTCTGTTATCTCGTCGTCCGTTACCGTTGCTTCTCCTACACTTCTCGCGGCAAATCCTATACAGATATATATGTCTTATATTTATTGTCTATTAATAATGCATATATATATATATATATATATATATATATATATATATATACATTTTTATAACGATACATCGTATTTAAGGAAAAAAAAAAAAAAACAAAAAAAATTATAATACGTTCAAGAAAAATTATACGTACGAGAGCCCACTCTTCTTTTTAATTTCTTTTTTTCTTTATTCTTCGTATCCGTCTCTTGTTCCATGTAAAACTGTTGCCGAGTCGATGCTTCAAATTTCGCTAAAATAATAGAATTATTAAAAATCATTAAAAGTGATAAATTTCATGAAATCATTTTAAATGTATATATATATATATATTACCTAATTCTTCTTCCATTTCAGGACTAAATTCTTGATGAAATTCTAATGCCTTCTCGATTAATCTTCTATTCATTCTTTCCTCTTTTTTGTATTTTAATTTAATTTCTTGTCGCGTTCTATTTGGAAAGAGAGTTTGCATCAATAAAAAATCTGTTCCCACTATATTTAATGCCTTGTAAAATTTCAATGTTTCCCATTTTGGCCATTCCTTTCCCTTCGGACGTCTTTTATAAAAACCTGATCCATAATTGTCATCATCTATTATCGCTTTTTTAGCTAATACTTCACGACTTTTCTTTGCGTGCGATTGTTCTATCACTAAACTTTGTTCATCTATTATTAATTGTCCATCAGGACCAACTTTTACTTGAGGTACTGGCATAGATGATGGATCATCTTCTCTTTCTTCCTCTTCTAATTCATCGATTCTAATAATGATTAAATAAATGATTCTTTATATATTATAAAATTGTATTATTCAATAAAATATAATTTCGTTATACTTACTGAGAAATAGAATCTCTATCTATGTGACTTATACCGGATTCCTTTGATTTTTTCATTGGATTTGTAACAGGATTATAATATATTAAATCGTACATTGTAAGCTTCGTTCTATCCGGTGTTTTGTTTTCATGTTTCAAAAGAAATTCTCTTCTGGCTTCGGCTAATTTCCTTGCCGATTCTGATATTAATATACGCCTTTTCTGACCAGTTTTTAATTTATTAGTAACATTGCTCGATGGATTATTAGAATTAATTTCTTTATTACTTTGAACAGAACACATTGAATCATTGCGCGTTCTATTTGTTACATTATTAGTTATCCTTTTACTATCGTCTTCCGATTCGCTAGCACTAGCCCCGCTACCTTGAATACTGTTGCTTCTTATTCTACCGCTATTATTTAACCTTGGTACAGGTCTCATGAAACATGATCGATTCTGTGCAGTCTTAGTTGGAGATCCTAATGCTAAATAAAAATTATAAGATATACATTTTTCAATGATTATCTATTTAATACAAAATATTTTACCATTTATATTTGTATTAGAAACTTCATGGTGATGAGTTACTTGTAGACTATTTAATTCTCCTGAATCAGATTGAACATTTTGCCTCTCTTCAATGCTCTCTTGTATCTCATGAGATTCATTTACTATTAATTTTTCTTTATTATTTGTTTCATCCGATGAATCATTTTGTTGACAAATACTTGCAGGCATATCATCTTCCTTAATAATATCATTTTTCTCTTTATTATCATTATTATCCTTATTATCCTTATTATCAATATCTTTATTATCATTGCTATTATCCGTTTCGTCTGTAATTGCATTTTGTGACGTCTTTCGACGCACTGGTACTGTGGCTAATGCTTTTATTCTTGCACGTCTCATTTTGTTTAAAAATAATTTGTTAGGTGTTTATTAAAAAAAAAAAAAAAACCTATATAAAATATAAAATTATAAATTAATTCATATTACTTTTTATATGTTCAATATATACGTAATAAAATAAAGAATATTTACATACCTGTAATTGTTAATATAGTTCTTAGTTTATAATAAAAAAAATAAGAATATACACATCACTATCTTGTTTGCAATTTATCATTTTCATTATCATATAGTATATATAATTTATATTTATACTTGAAACCTCCTGAAAATGATAAAAAATATATATATATATATATATACACACACACACATATATATATATATATATATATTTATATATAAATATTTTAAAAGAATCTATATTTATGATATACTTTAATTATAGATTAATAGAATTAATAATTAATTCCATTATCATATTGCTACATTTAAAAAGAAAAATTGTTAACACTATTCAATATTTACAAATAAGAATAATTCATATTTTAATAATAATTGTTAATAATTATAATTGTCAGTTACATTCGTCCAAATATAAATAATCCAGCCCATATAAAGTGACAGCTGGAAGAGTTATAATTGTCTTGCATCTTAAATTCTTTTTATAAAAAATATAAAGAAAAGTGAATAATTAGAAATAATGTAAAAAAAAAAAACATATACATAGATATAAATATTAAATAATAAGATTAAATAAGATTAAAAATATCATGCTATTAGACAATATATTTATACAAATATTTTTATATTCCGACATCTTATCCTTCCTTCTACCGCAATATACATTGACATTAAAAAGTATCGTTTACTCCATATTACCAACTTTAAGATGTATCATAATCGATTTGATTCGTTCATTAAAATTTAAAGTCCTTCTACAATACGATGAAATTCTATTGGTGGCTACTTAAACGTTTCGCGTCTTCGATCTATTCGATGGGACTGTCCGTGGCCAAAGTAAAGTTTGAAGAAAATCTTTAGAGCTAATATATATTGGGAACGTTCCAATGTTACGGTACTGCCAAGAAACGTATGTACGAAAGATGCATATAAAATATGCGACACCTAGCGACAGATTGAAGAACCTCAATGAAACGTCGATGATTGGTTCAATGAAAAGACACGTAATTGATCGATGAATGTATTTTACAAGTTTTAGTTCGATAATTGGCCCACAGATAGCGCTGCGATACGTCGATACGATATCTCAACTTGTATTCATAACGAGAGCTTATATTGATCAATATTAATCCTGGCATATGCAGTACGTGCATGATCGTTGAACGGGAATGTTTATTAATTTTAATCTCATATTAACTAACCTTACATAATGTTCGTAAAATCATATAAAATAAGACATAAATTTGTTGATCTCAAAGAAGCTTTTAAAAATTCATTGAAAATATTTAAGATTTCGAAGAAACAAATACATACTATTCCCAAAGAAGGACCATGGAGTGTATTATTTTTTGGTGTTGATGATTTTTCATTAGAGAGTTTAAAAGGTTTACATGAAGAATAGTTAGTCTTTAATTTAATTATTCATCACATTCGATTATTTATAAATAATATATTATGTACGATGAAATATTATATTAAAACGTGACAATTAATAAAATTCTTTTCAAACGATTTACATATTATTCTGATTGCCATTGAATTGATTTATTTTAAAGTTTCAATGTATCATTAATTTCATTCACGTACGTATATATTTTTTATCGTTTAGCAAATTAAAAAAATTATGTCGATTGGAAGTAGTTACTACAAAACAAAATAAGAAACATGAAGTTAGAGATTATGCAATGCAAAATGGAATTGTAATGAGAACGTGGCCTCTAACAATTGATATTGAAGATTTTCATATAGGAATTGTTGTTTCTTTTGGTCATTTAATACCAAAGAATATAATAAATTCATTTCCATTGTAAGTGTGTTATTACTTTTGATTTATATAATATTGATTTAAGTCCTTTATTATGAACAATTTTCATTAAATTACATTAATTATTTATCTTTTAGAGGTATGTTAAACGTTCATGGCAGTTTATTACCAAAGTGGAGAGGGGCATCGCCAATTACATACTCTTTAAAAAATGGAGATACACATACAGGTGTTACAATAATGAATATATTGCCGAAAAAGTAAATTTCATCATATTACAAATGAGTTGTTTCAAGAAGGAAGACAAAGAAAAGAAAAGGAAAACAATTGACCGTTAACAAAATACCTCTTATTAACTATTTATTACATTATAATATTATTGTTTATTTGTATGAGCCATTATTATTTTCAAAAAATGTTAAAATTTTAAACTAAAATTAATAATTGAAAAAAGTAAAAGAAATAGAGGAGCTGTTGTAATATTCAAATTATTAGTATAATTGTTAACACATTCATAACTATAGTTAATACAAAATTCAATTTTAACAACATAACATATTAAAGTAAATATTTTATTAGTCAAGATAAATATTTTAATCTCTTCCAAGACATTTCTTTTTATATGGCAATACTTTAATGGATATGTGGTCATTCAAGATTTAGACGTATAAATAAAATATAAACAATTTATAATAAATATTAAGACGTTTTCACGTTAATTATTTTTCTTTTTAGATTTGACATTGGAGAGATAATAGCACAGGAACAAATAAGTATTAATCCAGACGAAACGTTACCAGAATTACGTGCCAAACTAGCAAAAATAGGCGCAAATCTTCTAGTCAAAACAATAGAACAATTACCATTAATATTATCAAATGGAAGACCTCAAAACGAATTGGAGGCAACATATGGTAAACGTATTATTTACAATTTAAAATATATTATGTATGAATATTAATTGAAAAAGCGAAATTCTTATTATTCCTTTTAGCTCCCAAATTTACATCAAAGATATCCTTAATAAAATGGGACGAAATGTCAGCTATAGATATATACAATCTACAACGTGCTCTTATAGGATTATATCCATTAACTACAAAATTTCGAAATACGATCATTAAATTATTAGATATTCAAAAAATAGAAAAACCAAATCATTTATCACATATAGAGCCAAATATACCAGGTAAAAGGAAAGAAAGAGAGAGAGAGAAAAAAAAAGGAATATAATAATCATTAATTTGTTATTGTTACGATAATGTTAGAGAGAAAAAAAAACTTTTCGGTAATTTTCAGGTGTTGCGACATTTGATAAACTAAATAAAGTTCTAATTGTAAAATGTAAAGACGATAATTGGATATCTGTCGCGAAAGTATGTATTCCAGGACATCACCCGATGAGCGCAAATGATTTTAACAATGGTTTCATTCTTGGCCAGAAACAGAGAATAATAATTTTTCAATAAAAAAAGAAAAAAAAAATGCAACACCTTTACCATTTAATGAATATATATATATACACACATACATATATATATATATATATATATATATATATATATATATGAACCTTTGGAATCTAATATGAGTTATTATTACTTCTTTTTCATGATTACAATGTTGAAGAGATGAACGTGTTTATTTAGAAATGAACACAAAGGGAAATTTTATTCATGCTCGTTTAATTTAACACATTCTTTATTCTCTTGGCACTTTAAACGGCTGAGAAAAATAGGACAAAGTCAAACGATATACGTTTTAATAATTATTGAAAAGCAAAAGAAAAAAAAAAATGAAGAAGAGTTTATAAAGAAATGGACTAGTGCGAATCTCGTCAAGCTGAATTAAATTTTTAACTAGGAGAGAGAAAAACAAAAAAAAAAAAAAACCAGAAAGAAAACGATAAAAGATATAATTATCGTTTTTATCTCTTATTTTGCGTATATACTTTTGAAATTACATATAATTTCGTATAAGTTAATTTTTTTTTCTTTTTTTTTTTTGGAAATATTATATATTAAATGTTAAAACAATCAATATAACTGTTATTTGTGTACACAGGAAACTGAAGGCACAGTAAAAAAGGAGAGAGAGAAAAAAAAAAAAAAAAAAAATATTCATATATTCAAGAATAATTCGTTCAGTAATACTTTCCTTCAGCCTACGATTTATCCTGTGCGCGCTCATGTCAGTAAAATATTTCCCATAAAAGGAGCAATATATGACATGTTAGTAGAGTTATTGATAAATACCATACGGTCGGATTTATACAATATAAGCGATTAATTAACCTGTCGTATTAAAATCGCAACATCATTTCTATGATAAGTGATGATTAAATTGGCTACTTTGTTTGATTATGTTTCTTTCTTATACATTTGTAAAGAAAGGTAATCTTTTTAAGTAGATTGATCATCACATGTCGATGATATGATAAAAAGACATTTTTCCATGAAAAATCTGATATCGATAATATTTCAGATTTGGAAAAATGCCTAACGATGTATTTACAACGAGACCGAGACTCGTTCATCGTCATTTAATATTATGAAATTCGCAAAATAGATCAATTTTTCATTGCTCAGTTTTCATTACATATTTATAAAAGAACCTATTAATGGCAACATCTTTGCTGCTATTTAAAAACAGCTTAAATATCTATTTTTTTGGCGAATTCTGTAATCTTACTCGTTCCTTTTCTTCCTCCGTGACAAATACTCTCGTTATTGCGATATCACCTGTACTAAGTGTTTGGCAGGCAGCATTAACCAATATCTTAGTTTCTTTCGTTGGGCTATCAACTTTATCGTTTAGACATTTACACACACATTGTCTTGGGGAAATCTCTGTACTATTTGGCGGCGATAATTGATCGTTCGAAGACGTAGTCACAGCAGAAAGTATTGCTTCTAATTTCTCTATTTTTTCCAACCTATCCATTCGAGCATCCGATAGAATTTCATCGACCATTTGCATAGATTCTGTTAAACTTGGAGTCTCGGAATTTCTTGGTGATAATATTCCACCTAAAAATATCGATCGTAATTTAATCATTGAATAAACATAAAACATAAATATAATTTGTCTCGTACTTTGTAATAATCTTATCATTGGGAACTTTGGTTATTTTAATATTATAAAATATACCAGAATGCGAATTCTCCGAGGTGTAACTGTCCATGCTATGATATTCCGTATCTTCCATTTTATCTTCGTCGTCCTCGTCGCTGCTATCACCTTTATCTTGACCCATATTCTCTAATTTTTCCAATTTCTTAGCAACCTTATAATTACCCTTTAATTTCTCTTTCTCTTCCTCCGTAAGATCTAAATAACGAAGAAGACGAATTTCCCGATTACTTAATACAATGTTTTTACACGTTGCCTCTTCCATTCTTTTCTTTAAATCTGCAACTTCCGTTTCAACTTTTCTTTGCTTTTTACGAGCCTTCACTTCTGCCGGTTTTATATGCATCAGAATTTGTTCTTCGCATAATTCTGTAAACAGGCTTTGAAACTCCGGCTTGATCAATCTAGACATCAACAAAATCAACAAAATCAACAAAATCAACAAAATTTACTTTCCCGTTTGTTCTCGCAATCCCAATAAATTCGTAGCTTACCTTGTCATAGAAAGATATACCCGTGGTACAAGACTGAGAACATCGCTACTAGCATAAATCAACATATCTCTAGTCATAGGCCGACGAGACCAGTATCTTTGGTCTTTACGATAAATATTTTTTAATTGTTCCTTCAAGGGATTACATGGTGCCCCATAATGATCGCATAAAATATTTAAATTGACATTTTTTACTTTGTACACAGGTTTCCCTGTTTCTTGAAATTGAATTACGGCATGTGCAGTCTGTAAATAAAAAAATATAAAATTCTTACGACGAGAAAGTTTATTATAAAAAAAAAAAAAAAAAAAAAAAAAAAAAGAAAATATATGTACACACATATATATATATATATATACCTGCGTGTCAAAGACATTATTTAGCGTTATGTTAAATTGATTATATAAATTAACGCTATCATTTTTACAATCGTGAATCACCTAAAAAAATTAGATAATCTTTTTAAAAGATATTGTTAATATAAATATCTGGTCAGGCTTCTTAAAAGAAGCTCACCTTGATAACTTTATCAGTTTCTAAAAGTTTTTGAAGTCCGCCAGCCTGTACGAGGGTAGGACATGTAAATAAATCGAAGACATAAGCTTGACCACTCATAGTACCAATTTGTATTAGAGTTAATTGTCCTTTAACACCCAAATTTATTCCTTCGCAATCAAACGAAATAACATTATTATCAGCTCGAGGTTTGCGAGGATTTATTATATCTTCTATAATCTGTAAACTTTCTTTTGGGTTTACAATTACCCTTGTCTGTTGTAATACTTTTAATTTCCACGCGTCACCCTTTTGAATACTCTGTAAACTGCGATCTTTATCGGTATTATCTGCTAACGTCTTCATTACAAGCGTATTTATTCTTTGTTTAAGCGTTTGTTGCTGTAAACTTACTAAAGGACAGTTATTATTAGTTTCAACAGGTGTAGGAGTTGCAGTTTGCGATGTATTATTTTCAATTGGTGAGTTGTTACATACAACGCTTTCTGAGTTTACTGCCTGAGATGATGTCTGTGTATTATTTGATAAACTTGTTGTTTGTTGTACTGCATTTATTCGATTTACGGCATTACCACGATTTCGAGTCAATTGCATAGGTTTCGTTTTCGTGTCTGTTTCTAACGTAGAAGATTTTCCCCGTTCTATCAATGTTACGAGATTACTTTGAACATGAAAGGTGTCGGGAAACATTTTTATAAATGTAGACAAATCTCGAACCGTTTTAAATATAGACGTCCAATTTTGTCCATGACAAAATTTTTCATTAACCATATTAAACAATATATCTATAAAAATTGGACCCTTCTCTTCTATGCATTGGGCAAAAAATTGTAATAATTTTACAGTAACTTCGGGATCGATAGGCGTATCGGGTTCCAATTCTACGAATAATTTTACTTTCATTCCTTCGTATTGTTTCAACATTACATTATCGTCCGTAACTACAAAGGCACCAGGATACTTCAAGAGAAAATCTCTAAATTCTTTATAGCGTTGACCAGAAATGTGTCTTACTTCTGGAGAGGCCTGCGATCGATGTCCAAGTAGGCTAGTTATTGGTACCTCAGTTCCTACTCCGTATTGCATCAATTTATTAGAAAAATATTCTACCGCTTCTCGAGCATAATCACGTGTTCCACTTAATTTAAATCCACTGTCTTCTTCGTGTACAGATTGAAAAGTATTAATGGATACGTAATCACCGTTTATAATAAAAAGTGATGGATGTTGAGATAAAAACTTCTTAAGGCCACTCTGGGATCCACCTGCTATTTGACGCATTTCTTTAGTGAATCCTTTAGCTCCAAATTGACAACTTAAATCGTGTAATGTCCGTGGTCCACCTTTGTCCATTAAACGTTCAAAAAAGAATAAGAGAGTCATATTTCTGACCATCTCATATTCAGAACTATCCATTTCGTAAGTTTTTATTATTGTTAGATACTCCTTTGATCATTCGTAATTGATGGCACTGTCACGAAATATCCTAACAATATTAAAATATTATTTAACATAGTATAAAAGAGAAACTTTTTAAATTACGAAATACGCTTATTTACCATAATATTCAAATGACAATAGTAATAACAAAAATGCATAATCAATCATAGAAAATAATATTTTTTTATATCCTTATAAGAGATATGCATGACGATTGACATAAGTTAGCAGATACATCGCTAATACCAATAACGCAAACAGGATCCTGCACATAAATATAAATTGATATGTTATAATAAAAATATTAATTAATTAAATTATAGTTTCAGGAAATTTCATTTATTCGCACATAGTAATGTTGTATAAATAATAATCAGGTGTATACAAAAAAAAAAAAAAGGAAAAAAAAAAATAAAAACCAATCGATCAACCGTGTTATTGAAATTACCCTCTCTACATTATTTAATATCCGATTAATACATTATTTAATTAAGTAAATCAATATTTCTACATTGTTAATAATATTGTATATTCTACATTAGTAAAAATAGATTTATTGAAAGTATTATATATTTGGCATACAAAACATAATACCATATAATATTTTATGGTAATATACATATATATATATATATATGTATATGCATATATATATATATATATATATATATATATATATATTCTATTAAACATTGCTATCTCGCATGATGTAAATTATACAGTATTTACCATTGATGGCTGAAGCATTAGTCCTCTTCATTAAATATTCGACATATTTGAATAAATGAAATCTAAAATATTTTCTAGGTCAACACATTTTAATTAAATTTCCAATAATAATAATTAATCAACATAAATTATATTAAATATTAATCGTTTCCAAATAAAAACATTATATTATTTTAATATTAAATAATAATAAATATAACATTAATAGGCACTTCGGAAACAATTATTACAGATCACCAAGTATCCCAAGAACAAAGGATACCAAATTTCTAGATTGCAGCTGGCACTTGATAAACTTGAAGATATCAGGTATTCTCACGAGAAGTTATCGCCACCTGTCGTTGCGTAACTACAACTTTTCATTGCCGCGTCTTCTTCGAAAGATCGTAATCATCGTAATATAATAATATTACATTACATTGACATGTAAACTTCGAATGAAATAATAAAGAGCATTGTTGATCGTGGGCTCCATTTACATTGTACATAAACGTCTCACGTCTATAGACTTATTTACATTTAATATTCATTGACATATTCTATGATATATATATATATATATATATATATATATATATATATATATATATATATATAGGATATGAAATACTTATACGATACATGATAAAACATGTCTTATGACAAAATATTGGATTTATAAAAAATTAGAAAAAAATATTTCTTTATTTAGCATTTCACAAGTTTTCTTTTTTCTTCTTTCTTTTTTTTTCTTTTCTTTTTTTTTTTTGAGTAAAGTGTAAAAATAACTTTATAAAAAAATACTTTATATTATATTATTTATGTGGAGCATAATTGTTATTTAACATTATTGTTATATCTACCAGCACTTGTGTATCTTTGGTTAATATCTGATTGGATTATTAGAAGATGCTTTTAATTTTAAACGATATTTTTTTTTTCTTTTTTTTTTTTTCTTTTCTTTTCTTTTCTTTTTTTTTTTTTTTTTTTTTTTTTTTTAAGCATCTTTACCTGTATCAAGTAATACGATTTCTATACATTCGTCAATATTTTTATTTTTTCTTATATCCACATTGTACGTATTCGCCTATGGAAAATTGTTAATTATATTAAAAGGGTTATAAAATTTATTTCTTTATTAATAAATCTAATATACGTACCAATTGTAACAATGCCAAGAAATATCTAGCTACGTCATAGCTATGCTCACCGTCCACAATATTATCAAAAGATGCATTTTGACTTTTATCATTTAATTTTTTAATAATTTGAGATGCATAATTTTGTATACTAAATATAGGCTTTTGTTCAACTTCTGCAAGTTTCGATTGTATCGACTGATGCCATTTAGTAATTTTACGATCAAGTTCAGTTTGAACATCTGAATCTTCTAAAAGTTCTTTCATCTTATCTTTAATCAATCTTTCGTAATTTGGCAAAGAATTTTGTAAATCGCATTGTGAAGAGGCACTGTTTGACCTTGAAATTATTGAATCAGTTGGAGAAACCCCACGTGTCTCGCAGTCAAGAATACTCGATGAATTTGCTAATATACCAGAATCATCAAGGAATGTATCATCCGTAAATGTATTATTTTCGATTGAATTTTTTTTCATTCTTAAATCATCGATCGTTGTATCTGTTGTTTCACAATTGAAAGAAGTTAATTTTTCTGCATTTTTAAAACAATTCTCAAAAACCTTCTGTATCTCACTGATTTCTTCTGAAAAACAAAAGGGGGAAAAAGAAATAAATAAATAAATTAAAAATTGATTAATCGAACGAGCATCATCGTCATCGTCATATTAATATGTAATAATACAAATTTCTTGCCTGATTTAAATTGCGGCAGTATCTGTTTTTTGGATCTATGTCCAGAATTTTTTTCTTGCAACATTTTAGATTCTTTCAAAAGAAAATTTACTATGCATTCACCCTTGTACATTTGTGAAATCATTTTTCTTTTTCTCTGTAAATGTTAAGATAAATATTGATCTTGAAAATATATGAAATAAAAATGTTTATATATGATTGATATTAGATGAACTTACAGATTCAGTTTTAGAAATCATTGAAGATGTTATATTTAGTAGATCAATACGTTTCTTTTTTATTGAAATGTTATGTGTAAGAGATATTGGTTCCCATATTTTTGAATTTACAATTTTCTTTGTATTAGTTAAATATTTAATTTCTTTTAATCTAAAATTATATTAAATTGTTAACCCATTAATAATAATATCAATATTGCCTATATAAAAAAAAAATAAAAAAAATATTTAATACCTTCTGTTAGAATGATGATTTTTATTGTTTGGAATATTACACGCATTATCTGTGTTATTCATATTTGTATAATTATTAATAAGTAATTGCTTGTCAATTTTAGAATTTTTTTGAAATTTTTCTTTTTTACCAATAATTGTAGGCTGTTCTTTTTCATTAATTGCATTGTCTGTTACATTAAAATCGTCTGTATCAATTGAACAATCGGCATTATTTAGTACTGGCGATAAGCAACAATTTGTTAAAGTTTCTGTATTATTATTGGTCACTATATTGCATATGCTAGTTGGATTATTAAAATTATAACTGCTATCAAATGTTGACATATTGGAGCAATATCCTGACGTAGCAGAGATATCAATGTCCATTATTCCAAAGTCTAGAGAAGATATTAATAAATTATTTTATTAAGAGATATATGTAATATATCTATATCTATATATATATCTATATCTATCTATATATATATATATATATATATATATATATATGTATATATATATATTTACCATCAGGAGTAGGTTCATCTATCAGTAGGCCATTCATATTCAAATATTGATTACATCTATACACAATACATAGATTATTATTAATGGCATTATTAATATACTATGACTATGTAACATACCTGAAATGATATTTTTTTCCAATAACATCACCATGAATATCGATTATTTCTGTCATATTATGTACAAGATCATCTGCAATATTTTCTAATTGAGCAAAGCGCCGTGTTAACAATTTCACAGGTTTTTCTACATTAAAGTTATTTTTCGTATTAATATTCTTTCCGACTTCGTCCGCCAAATTGCACAATTTAAAATCATCAAAATTAATGGAGTTGTTTAAATGTTTTTTATTGTGTTTCAATTTTTCATTTGCACTTCCACCTCTGTTAAAATTATGAAAAAAAAGTTTACTCTTATTATTCTACAATGTCTTAATGAGATATTATACATACTCATAATTTATAAACATTTCATTTAAACATGCGGTCTCATCAAGAAGACGTTCAACTCTATGTACATATATGTTAACAGAATTTTGGAGAATTAATGCAGCTTCTCCAAGTTAACATCATAATGACCTTCAAGTAAAGAATAATATTCTTCTAGAATCTGAAATAGTATTATAATATTGTTAAATTTATATCAATTTATTTACAAATAATCCTAAAATCCGTACATACTTCTGAAAGAGGAAAGTTCCAACTTGCAAGATCTTTAGCTGGTTTCATAAGCTGGCAGCTAATATCTTGTAGATTAACCATTTTTATACAAGTTATAATTTTAAATTATCATTTATTATTACTATTCTTTCATTCCCTTTTGGGTGTCCCTTTTTTTCCCCTCTTCTTTCCTTTTTTTTTCTTTTTTTTTTTTTTTACCTAACAGTTAATTATTAAATAACACCCACAAAAAACAAGGTTAAGAAGATATCAATATAATATTAGAATATATAATTTATTGATTATCACTCGATTATTATTTATTACACAATAAATTTGTTAATAATCGTTGATAATTAATATCCTCGAATTTATTTTCTTTTCAATATTAAATTGTAGTCACACATTTCGACTTCTCAAATTATGCCGCGTTCAATGTTTCGGCTTAAAAACTTTTATCCCTGCTTAATTCTAGAATTTCTTCTACTTAGTTTTTTTGAAAGAAATTTCTCAATCTTTATCCATTCGCGTTATCGCATTTAAATGAAATGATTTAAACGTTTTATAAATTAATTAGGCTATTTAACGATTTCAAATATTTATAAAAACAAATTTAATCGTTTATTACGAGGAACAAATCAGTTTTGTATTTTCCACGAAACAGTTTCCAATTGGTGGATAGATTATTGTTGCTTCTTTAAACGTTTCAATTCATTCAAATTATTTTGCAAGTTTTTTTTATACAGCAAAACTATTATTACCTTTATTGAAAAATTTAAAAGAGCAATAATAATAACGATGATAATGATAATAATTACGATAATGAAAAAAAAAAAAAAGAAAAAAAAAAAAAAAGAAATGGACGCGGATCATTTAAAATTTTGATTTTATCCTTCAAACGATAGTACGCACTTATCGAAAGTTTGTATGGTTTATGGACTTGGATGCAACGTAACACGTGTTGGGTCGAGTACGTTTATTTAAAGAGGGAGAGGACGTAGTGGTTTTGCCAGAAATACGAGTTTTTTTTCCACATTAATTCGTAAGGTTAATTTAATATTATTATTATAATTATGAGTGCTTTGTTCAGATGTGAATACATATGAATGGTGATTAGAATTGAAAATTATTTCTCATTTATACAAGTTTGAAAATAGTGATATTAGAAATATACGTATCGTTTGCCACACGTTCTCTTGGCATAAGAATGAGCTGGCATAAATTGCGTTCGTTGCTTGAAATAATGTTTTCATTCAAATTTAAGCTATTTCGTGTAGAAATTTTTATATTATTTTGAGTGAATGATCATTCTAAAGATTAACGATCTAAATATTTCTTCGTATTTACTTTAATTAGATATTTCCTAACCTTTGAAACTAAAAATCATGGTCCAATTGATATGCATAACATATTGTTATGTAGTCCAGTTGGAATATGGTGTTAATCATAGCGCATATGTACGCACATATTGTTAATATTGTAAAGTCAATTATAAATATACTTGTGGGGGGAGGGGGGCGGGGGATCTTTCTTAATAATAACAAATGTTAGTTATTGTTTATTCGATGGACAGTCTTCATATCGGGGGTTTCAGAAATTAACTTTACTTGGGATAAATATAAATTTCCAAAGAGTATTTTTTAAGAATATTTCTATACAAAAGTATTTTTGTCTCTGCTAAATAATAAAACAAATATTGAAATATATGATAATAATTTGTTATTTTTGTTCCTTTTTTTTTTTTTTTTTCTTTTTTTTTCCCCTCATTCTTTTTATATAGATCAGTTTTAGAAAGAAGAATTTAAATGCAAGAAAAAGGAAGACAGTAAAATTATTCCGTTTATAATTCAAAAAAGAAAACATAGATCTTGAAACATTTAAACGTTGTAGCGTTGCAAAAGGGCTCTATGTACTCCATATCGTCTTCCTCGAATGGTACTTTAGTTTACAAAAATATTGTGTCAGTTTATCAGAAGAGGAACAAGTCAGGAATTTATAAGTTTATCAACCAATACTGTTATCATGCGCAACGAAATTACAGCAGCAGTACTATTCTTAGTACAGCTGATAGAAAAAAACGAAAAATTTAGTCCCGATCAATTGGAATGTTTCAAACGACATTTAGTTGAATTGTTGACGGAACGTTTTAAAAATCATTGGTTTCCTGATAAGCCTTTCAAAGGTCAAGGTTATCGTTGCATACGTGTGAATGGGCATAATAGAAGGGACGCGACCTTGGAGAGTGCAGCAAATGCTGCTGGAGTGAAGTACGAAGATTTGTCTCTACCAGTAGAGCTTACACTTTGGGTTGATCCTAATGAAGTTTGTTGTCGTTTTGGAGAAAGTAAGGGATCATATTGCACATTGGCATCATTTGATGATAAAGAAAATACTGTACCAATTTTTCAAAGAGATAATCATGCAGAGAAAGAAAATAAACAATCTGAGAGGCAGACAAAAATGCTGGTACGTATTAGAATTATATATTTTGATATTTACGCATTTAGCTATACAGATAAGAATAATAATAAGAATAATTGCATATAAATATATTTCACAGAAAACCCCACTGGTACCTACTATGGAAGAACAACATGAAGTAAAACCTTTAAGCTCTGCAAATCAAAATCAACATCATAATAGTACTGGTACAGGTAGGAGGCGCAATTTGAACAGTCCCAGACTCCATGTTAACAGAAATCGTACTTGGTTTGGTCACTCCTTTGGCATGGGCTATGGACCTCATCCGATCACTCAACCATGGTATAATATCGTGCCACCTCATTTTTTGAGCGGTCCATCTCCACCTCCCTTCATGGGCCATCGGGGAAACAAATGGATTCCTCCTTCTTATCCTGCTGGCCCAACCCGTTTTCATCACTGGTCTCCAAAAGCTACTCTTAAAGTATAAACAAATTCGATGCAGGTATAAATAAGAAATCTGTTCCTTTATTATTATTATTACTATTATTATTATTATTATTATTATTATTATTATTATTATTATTATTAATATTATTAATATTATTATTATTATTATTATTATTATTATTCCTTTTTTTTTTTTTTTGAACTATGGACAATGGTAATTTCTTTTTTGTATTTTTCATTCTATTTTATCTTTGTAATTGTGTAGTATTTTAACTGCCATTTCTTATGTATTAAAGCATATATCTATGGGGCTAATCTAATTATATTTTTATTAATCATTAGGAACAGATTTCTTTATTTATCGGTGATGAAAATGATTCATTCTGTAATTACAAATGACCTTGTTCAAATCGCGACTAAGGCTTACGATTTTTTATGACAAGAGATGTTGTATTATTACATGTTTATATACATATAATTAATCCAAATAATAGATATTTAACTCCGGATGCAAGGTTGCTTGTAAAACACTAGTCTATTGGGGATATAAATAGAATGTATTAGTTTGTATTCATATGAAAAGAGGCAATGAAATTTGGAAAGCCGTTTGCGACAATTTCTTATCAGATTGGTTTTTAAAAAGAACTTTTTTATGTGAAACATAGAGTAAGTAATCTCTCTATATACGAAGCAGTATTGATTTGTGTATATGTATTTGAAAGGAATGGCAAGTCATAGATAAATTATTCGTGCAATTTATTACACAGCGCGGTTCAGTTCCTTTTACAGCCTGTCTCTTTTCTTTATGCTGATCATGAACATTGCGTCATATAAATTTGAAATATCAAACGTAAAGAAAGGAATTTTCTTTTTATTCTCTTTATTTTCAAAAACTATATTGGATTAACAATAACAGTGATTTAAATAGAATCCTCTGAACATTATAGAAGCATGTATTTGAAATATTGTTTTAAAATGTATAATATGTACACATATTTGAACGTATGTGTGCATATGCACATTTTTGTTTTTAAAGTGAAGAAAGTAATTTGATTTTATTAAGTAAAAGTACAATGATATTACGATTCCTTTTTTTTCTCTTTTTTTTTTTTTTTTTTTTTTCTTTTCTTTTTCTCTCAATATTATTTAATTAGAAATATTATTAATTGTTCCAGAAAATGACATTATTATACAGGCACCTTCATTAGAATTTCTGTTTTATGTTAATAGTACTGCACGAATATTATGCCTGTCGTATATGATTATAAGAAATCAATATCTCTTATTTTATATATGGTCCTTTGGTATAAAAGAATTAAGTCTCTTTTTCATTAATCTGTAATTTATAAATGTGCATTAATTATATTAATATATTAATATTTTACTGAAAATTATAATATTAATGCAATGTCAGATTAATACCAATGTAATGTACATTTAATCGTGTATATTGTAGACAATTTATCACGAGTTAGTATCTTATAGTTATATAAGCTATATATTTGCTTTATCTGCCAATGCAAACAGTGGTATAATATACCTAGTATCGATAAATATTTTAGTATCACAAATATTTAAGAAGTGCAATATTTTTTTAGTTGACAATTGGATACAATTGTTGATAATAGCTGTCAGAATCTATTCACGATGTAAATCATATGTTTGTATTTCTCTGTCTATTTTTATTATTCAGGTTTCAGTATAATTTTCTTTGATTACAAATTTATAGAAATAATTAATATTTTCTCTCTCTCTCTCTCTCTCTCTCTCTCTCTCTCTCTCTCTTTCTCTCTTATTTTTTTATTTTATTTTATTTTTTTTCTTGTTTTATTTTTTTTTTCCTCACTAACTTAGGCACAAACCAGATTACTATCGTTGCAGTATAAAATCAAATTTATCATTTAACTATAAATAAATGGATTGCTCTTTAAAATTTTATATTGAAAAATATTATAGTTTTGCTATTTCCATGTTATTTATAATTAAATGCATGTGTAATTGCTCTAGCATAGGTAATGTTTGTGTTCACTTTGTTAAATCTTATATTCAGATGAGTTATTTTAATGTTAAAGTGCAAAGGGTGTTAAAGGTCTATATAAATGCAAATATGAAATGTTTATGTAGTATTAAGCAATGTTGCATTCGGACGTGTTCTTTGTGTGAGTGTATGTGTAGTTGGCGCGCGCGTTGCGCATCGTGCGCGCATTACATACCGATGATGTATGTATGCATGTGTATATATATATAAAATGTGTGTAACGAACGATATGACGAAATAATTCGAACTTTTCTATCAAAATTACAATAATCATTTTTGCCCGAATTAAGCGCGCTTTATACGTTCTATATATAATATTTATATGTATATTTTAAAACGACTGATATATTCGATCGGATTTTCAATGAAAAACAGAAAGTAAAAAAATGAAAGAAAAAGAAAAATAAAACAAAAACAAAAACAAAAACAAAAACAAAAACAAAAAAAAAAGAAAAGAAAAGAAAAGAAAAAAAAATTTCATTTGTTACAAAGAAGAGATCTCTATTTGTTGAAACATTTATCTACAAATAATCGTCGTAATTGAAAATTAATCGTTTAATTTAATAATGGCATTGTTGCCACTTTTATTTTTCTTTAATTTTAATCTAAAGAAAGAAATTTCGATCGAAATAAAAAAGAGAGTAAGAGAAGAAGAAAGAAAGAAAGAAAGAAAGAAAGAAAGAAAAAAAAACGAAACAAAACAAATAAAAGCATTTCTTTTAGCACATCAGCATTTTTATATATTATATATTCGAATGAAGAAATATTTAAATACATAATCGGGCAAAATACGATTTGATTACACGAACGAATGTTACAAAGATAAAGCTTTAAAATTATTCCGTTTCTAATCTTATATAATGCGTATACTCGAGCTTAATTTCATTGAAAATGTGTGTACGTTCGTGAGTAATAAGAGAGGAAGAAGAAAAAGAAAAAGGAAAAAAAAAAAAAAGAAACCAAGAAAATTGTGAAAGAAGAAAATTTAAACGAAATGAAAAAGAAAAACGAACAAAAGGAAATCAAACGAGGAAAGTAGTA